GTTTTGACAATTTTGACATGCCGAAACTCCCTAATTTCGGCAGGGAACTTTAATTATAACGATAATGTAATGACGACGATAATGAAAATTTACCATTTGATTATTGTTTATTTTTTGGTTCAAAATAAAAAAAAAAAATGTATCTATATTTAAATAAGTAATACAAACAAATTGTTTATTTACATAATATTAAAATTTGTCATCCGGTTGTTGATCATTTTTGGCTAACAAAAAAATTATTCAGTTTTCACATGATTTGCTAAAAATTTTATCCCATAATTTTTAAGCAAGAAAGATCATTCTATATAAGTGCAATATCACCCTATGGGTGGCTGGGTGGCGCGTCACATTATTGTTATGACTTGAAATGATTGACATGTCATGATAGGTTAACGTTAACTTAACGTTAACATAAGATTAGTTTTTGAGTGATTTCCATTTTAAGATGCTGATCCCCATCTTTGGTATTGATTTGCTGATTATATAAATACATTTCAAATCAAGCTTTTCTATTTTAGTACGATCGGCAACCAACAAATCTTTTAGTGTTTTAACAACGTAGATCGTTAATATAAATTTAGAATTCCGGGAAATTTTAAAACCGAAGTGCAATATCATTTCTTTCTAAAACTACCAAAAAACTATGGAATTTCCAAAATATGATGGGAATATTCACCCAAATGAATGGATAAATGATATTAAAAAATATCTTATATTTAGGAATATTAACAAAGGTGATCATTTAGGGATTGCAATATTATTTGTAGATTCTTTTATCACGCTTCCAGCTGAGATTGGTAGTTTTGAACAACTTTGCAATTTACTTAAGGAAGATATTTCCTTTACAGTGTTCAAAAACACAAATGAAAGAATGTTACAATCATTAAAATATACTCCTGATAGAAAGGGTGGTAATACATCACGATTTATTTCAAATTTTCGCAAATTATGTTATAATGCTGAAATAAATGACGTAGAAAAACAAAAGGAATATCTCTATAAATCACTCCCAGTGGATTATTTAGATCGTGTTTCAAATGAATTTCATAAGAAAATGAAAAATGTGAATTCAATCAATGAATTAATTAAAAAATTCGAAGATATTATTGTTGATGAAGAAAATTTAATTACAAATGAATCTGTTGTAGCATTAAAACATGTTGTTACGGGAAAATATTTAAGTTCGAATAAAGACTTGAATTATACGACCGGAAGCAAATCTCAATTGGTATATTTTGCATTATATCCTTTATTTATGAAAATACAAATGATTTACAGATCCAACATACTAATATAATTCTTAAATTTAGGTTTTTGCAGTTAGTTCAGATCTTGATCCAAGTTCTTTATGGAAAATTAATTTTAATAAGGAATTAAGTACCTACACCAATGGTTTTATAACTTTACAACATGTCAAATCCAAAATGTTCCTTGGAATAGATTATGGAAAGAATGAATATAATGGAAGTTTTCATTATACACAGTATTACGATCACAAATCACCGTCAACTAATCACACAGAAGGTAATATTAATTAATTTGTTTATTTTGTTTATTTAATATAATAATTAATTTATATTTATTGTTTCAGTGAATTGTAATGATATAAACTATCATAGATATTGGGTTAAGGATTGGGAGTTTAATCATGCTAAAGTAAGAGACAATCAGGGCTTTTTAAAATCAAATGATATTATTAATCTACGCATTAAGAAATCCCATGATATTAATGGTAATTATTGTCAAAATGGTCAATATGAATTTTTACGTAGTCATGATATTCAATTTACTATTGGAAACAATATTTTTCAAGAAGTTGTTTGCCATAACAAAAGATTGGGAGGAATTGATGAAGTATGTAAATTACAGTTAGTAAATTGCTATTAGTAAATTGATTTTATTTGATCATTTAAATTTAAAATTTTATATTAATACTAAAGTTTTTTTTTTTTGTAGTGGCGTATTGAGCTTTTTAAACACTTTATTTGATAGATAATTGTGTTGATTGGTTTTTTATTGAGATATAAATTTAATTTCAATTTTATACATATTTAAAATTCGTTATTAATTCATGAAAATGGGTTTAAAAGTTTCCAAGTGGCCATCACACATGTCACCTGATAATTCTTTATTTTTTGTATAAAAATAAATAAATTTTTCGTGATAAAATAAAACACTGTCCGGTGTACGACCACCCCGCAATCCCCGCATCATTACCTGCATGGATTATATGCTTTACATCCAGGCTACCTACACAGTGAATTATTTTCTCGGGTAAAATAATAAATTTATTAATAATAAAAATGCGTAAAAATACAAAATATTGCCCAAGTTCGCCTATTTATATATAGATTAACCAAATCCTTCATATTTATTATCCCATATCTTAATAAATCAGTTCCTAATATCAAATCTTTTCTTCTTGAGTCGATTACTTCAAACTCCAAAGGTATTTCTAAATTTTCATCAATTTCTATTCTAATTTCCACTCTTCCTAATGAAGCTATGTTATTTCCATCTGCTATTGTTAAATATCCAAATCTAACTACCATGTACCATACTTACTCTTAGTTTAAGACCACCAAAATCCCCAATTACTATAGTTTAAAGTCATTGCGGACTAAAATAAATATTAAACTGCGCCATTTATCTAATCATAACACAAAAAAAAAGGTTCATTTGGGCGTAACTTTTGTGTAATAATAAGATAAATATTCTAAATTTAGCAAGTATCTCGATAGTATGACGAATTATTTGCGGATCATCAATATAAATTTGGAAATATTTAAACCGAAGTGCAATTTTTCCCTCAAAAAAATAAAATAAAAAAAATGGATGTTCCAAAATATGATGGAAATATTCATCCAAATGAATGGATTAATGATATACAAAAATATTTTAAACTTAAAAAAATCAATGGTACTGATTGTTTAGAAATTGCTATATCATCCGTGGATCCTACTATCTCGTTACCAGATGAGATTGATAGTTTTGAGAAACTTTGTAACACACTTAAAGAAGATATTTCTTTTAAAGTATTTAAAAATACAAATGAAAAAATGTTACAATCATTAAAATATATTCCTGAAAATAAAGGTGGTAATACTTCAAAATTTATTTCAAAGTTTAGAAAACTTTGTTATAATGCAGAAATTAATGATATAGAAGAACAGAAAAAATACCTTTATAAATCACTTCCAATAAATCATTTTGATTCAATATTAATTGAATTTTATAAGAAAATGGAAAATGTTGATTCAATCAATAAATTAATTAAAGAATTTGAAGATTTTGTTGATTATGAATCAAAATTAATTATAAATGAATCAATTGTAGCATTAAAACATGTTAATACAGGAAATTACTTAAGTTCAATGGAGAATTTATGTTATGAAACTGGAGTTAAGTCTCAATTGGTATGTATGTTTATATATTATTATCAATTATCGTTATATTTTTTTTATTCTAATAATTATAAATATTTAATTATACTTTTTAATAATTTAGGTTTTTGTACAAGGAAGCCCAGAACCTGGACCAAATTCTTTATGGAAAATTAAATTTATTAATAAAGAATTAGCTACTTGTGGAAATACTCACATAACTTTACAACATGTCAAATCCAAGAAGTTTCTTGGATTAAATTATGGAAAACTTCATTATGATACTTTTGGTGATTATGTTTATAATTATTATGAATATCTTTATCACAAATCACCATCAACTGATTATACAGAAGGTAACAAATTAAAAAATTATTTTTATTATATTTATTTACTTTAATAATTAATATATATTTGATATTTTAGTAAGTTGTAATGATATTACAAATAGTGATTATTGGGTTAAAAATTGGGAATTTAATTATGATATAGTAGAAAGTCATCAAGGCTTTTTAAAATCAAACGATATAATTAATCTAAGTATTAAGAAAATGCATAATAATAATGGTAAATATATTTCAAATGGTCAATATGAATTTTTACGTAGTCATGATATTCAATTTACTATTGGAAAAAATGCATTTCAAGAAGTTGTTTGTCATAGTGAAAAATTAGGAGAAAATGATAAAGTAAGTGCATTATTACTATTAATTTTATTTGGTTTTATTTTATTATTTATTTAATATTTAAACTTTTTTTCTTTTTAGTGGTGTATTGAACTTATTAAACAATATATTTGGACCTTAGATTGAACTGTAATAACCATGATGTTTTTATTTGATAATGTTAAAGAAATGACTTGTCTTCAAAGTTTCGGTATTTGAAAAAAAATTATTAATAAAAAAAAAAATTAAATCAATTTATTAATTAAACAAATAGTGACAAAAGCTAGCTATAAAGTTTTTAAATGACTTACATAAAGATTTTAGCTATCTTTTTAAGCGCGTGTTAACCTGTTAACCATGAGAAATAATTTAAAAAAGTAAATAATATTTGAAAATCATTTAATGATTTGTTATGGGCGTAATTTTTGGGGTAACGACAAATAGTAAGACAACGTAGATCATTTTATATAAATTGGAAGTAAAATTTTATTTTCGTTCTAATGACTTTCTTTCTCTCTTTATTAAAAAAATATTATGGAATTTCCGAAATATGATGGAAATATTCATCCAGATGAATGGATAAAAGATTTTCAAAAATATGATTATTATTGGCGTGAAAGATACCATTTAACATGTTTGGAAATGGCCAAATCATTAGTAGATTCTACAATCAAAATCCCAACTAAAATTCGTGATATTGAAGAACTTCGTAACGCACTTAAAGAAGATATTTCTTTTACAATATTTAAAAATACAAATAAAAGAATTTTACAATCATTAAAATATATTCCTGAAAGAAAAGGTGGCAATACGTCAAAATTTATTTCAAATTTTCGCAAATTGTGTTACAATTCAGAAATAAATGACGTAGAAGAACAAAAGAAGTATCTTTATAATTCACTTCCAATAGGTCATTTGTATTATATTTCAAATATATTTTATAAAAAAATGAAAAATGTGAATTCAAACAATGAATTAATTAAAAAATTCGAAGATATTATTGTTGATGAAGCAAATTTAATTACAAATGAATCTGTTGTAGCATTAAAACATGTTGCTACAGGAAAATATTTAAGTTCAATTAAAAATTTACGTTATGAGACTGGAAACAATTTGGTATGTTTTATATTGTAACTTCGAATTTTTTTTTAATCGATTTTAATATAATTAATGTAATAAACAAATTAGATTTTTGTAGGAAGCTCAGATCCTGTTCCAAATTCTTTATGGAAGGTTAAATTTGATAATGAATTTGCTACTTATACAAATAGTTCTATAAAGTTACAACACATCAATAGTTGGCAATTTCTTGGAATAAATAATGGTTATAAATCTCCGTCAAATAATCATACAGAAGGTAGTATATTAAAATATATGTTGCTTTATTTTATTAAATCTTTAATTAATGTTAATGTTTATTTTTTAGTGAGTTGTAAATACAGCCCTAACGATATATATTGGAGTGAGAATTGGAAATTTAATCATAGTAAATTAGCAAATCATCAAGGATATTTAAAATCAAATGATATTATTAATCTTAGTATTGAGAACCGTTATTATAATAATAAAGTTGAATTTCTACGTAGTCATGATATTCAATTTACTATTGAGAATAATACTTATCAAGAAGTTGTTTGTCATAATGAAAGATTAGGAGGAAATGACGAAGTAAGTTATTTATTATGTATTTAGTTCAAATTTTATATAAACATTAAAAACCTTTTTCTTTTTTTAGTGGTGTATTGAACTTATAAAGCAAGCTTAAAATTACTTTAAATAGCAAAGTGTAAGTAGGTCAAATCAACTACTAATTTGCTCATATACATCATTTCTTCAAATAATTGTATTTTAAATAATCATGAACTTAAAAAAATCTATCCGTACTTGTTTAGTTAATTATATATTATGTAATTTTATTTACTCTACTACAAGTTTAAAATTTCTCAACAAATTTGTTTGGGTCAATAATTACATTTGAGTACAACTTTAAAATTATATGAACAAGTGACGTAAAACTTTAGCATGTTCCTTCTAAATAAAAGAAAAAAAGGATGGATAAAAAATATACAATATCAATTAACTTAGTTAATGGTTTTATTTTTTTATTTGGAAAAATGAACGAAGCTTTCAAACAATACTAACATTTCTTAATAATTAACATTTTTGTCATCGGAAGTACAGTACTATATTTGTTATTTTATAATCATTTTAAAAATGAATTTAAGCTTAAGAGAAAGCTATATTCTTTAGAAGTAATGAAACTACCACTATAAAATTATCCAATTCCCACATGGATTATTATATTAAAACGAATATGTGATTTATACATATTTTTGAAAAAAAAAATTTTGTCACGTACAGTACGTGTATTAATGTAAATATACTTCAACAAGAGAAATAATTGCTGGGTAGGTGTTTTCATTACGTAGTGAAGTGGAATTTTGTTACACGCGTCAGATTTAAAAACGGTTTTTTTTTACTATAGTTATTAACGCAATATCGCGCGGAATTTTTATTACTTGGAATTATAAAATTTTCATTAAGCAAATAAAGAAAATCTGACCAGGAAGGATTTTTGGAACGATAATTTGTTTGTTTCAAATTAGATGCTCTTGGACTGGAGTATTATTATTTATTTGATGTTTACTGTTGAGATGGCTAATAGCATTTCCAGTTAGCCCATTTAAAGAACTTTTTCATTACGTATATCACCAATTTCATTCACATATTCACAGGACAAAATATTATCATTACACTTATGTTCATCATCCCATCATCCTTATCACGTTTATTTTTATTGTAATTATTCTCATTTTCGCTTTGATTTTCACTCACTATCAATTTCAATATCTCTTATCTGCTGTCTTGTCCTTTTTTTGCATGTTTTAGTTGTTTGAATTTATGTGACATCGTTTTTTAATTTCAATTTATATATGTTCTATTATAATAAAAATAAATAAATGAAAATAAACATTACATATTGCATACATAAATTAAAACTAGATTAAAGCTAAAAAATCACTTTTTAAATATCATGTCGTGTAGGGAAGTTAAATTTTCAATGAAAAATCCTTTCTTAGATTAATTGAATATAATAATAGAATTTCAAAAAAAAAATAAAATAAAATAATACTATAAAAATAAAAATAAAAAAATGCGAAAATACATTTAATACATTTGTTATAAAAAGTTAACTTTAATATTGAATCAATAACATGTTTAATTTATTAAAAAGAAAAAAAGTAATAATGTTCAGCACGTAGTACACTTATTAGTCAAAATCATCTCTAAGAAAAATGCACATTGAAATAATTATGGAACTAGCGTATTTATAAAATACCCACACATTGTGCACGTTAATTCACTATCATCATTATCGCAATGACAGTCGTGATAGACTGCTGTGACGTTCGCGACCGGTGTTCCAGATGATGGAAGGTTGCGAGGATTATAAGGTATTTGCATGGTATGTGGATTACTTCCAACATACGTACTTTTTGTATTAAATATATCACTACTATAACCGTTCATGAAGATAGGATCAATGACGTATATATAATAAGCGTGTTCTATATTGAAATCATTCTTAGGGGAAATTTTGAATTTACCGATGGCCTAGATAGCTTCTGGTCCTTGGAAGGTGATGGTAATAACAGGCACATTATTAGAATCAGCACCCCATCGAGCATCTGTAAGCCTAGCTGAAGTTTCGGGGCGCGTTTACAATACAAAAGAGTTAAGGATATTATGAAAACAAAGTATTTATTTGACTTCATCATCTTTATGTTATTATTGGGTTTATTAGGTTATAAAAATTTGGGCTTACAATTATATTTATTTATTTATATATTTTTTTAAAACGATCTTAAAATTCTTTCAATACTTTTTGCTATCATCATTTCAAAATACGTGAACATGTGAAATATGAAAAACATAATTTGTGATTTACAGTTTAGCTTAAGAAAGAATGATTTTTAAAAACTCTCTTATTTAAATTTCATGCAAAAAAAAAACTCATGTTTGAATATGTTCATGCATTTTCGAAAAAGGCGAGTCCTTTCCATTATCGAATTTTCTATATCGCCATTTTCAAAATATGTGAAAATGTGAAATATGAAACAAAAGATTTGTGAAACTTATAATTTTTAGCTTAAGAAAGAATGATTTTGAAAACTCTCACTTGCATGTGAATATGTTCGTTAATAGGTAATCTGCATTTGTAATTAAATTATTTAAAATAAGAATTTTTAAATAAATTCTTTGTAAAATATAAATTAATTAGGGTCAAAAAATAACCGAAAAGGAATAGGTTTATGATATTCCTCAATAAAATTTTCCAAAGATTTTGACTTTTATATTGCTATGAAACTATCTAAACCTAACCTAACATCAAAATACAAATAACTAACTAATTACACTGTGTATTTATCTAGAAATTCTAACCCTACTTATCACTATTTTGTCCCATAGTGATTGCTCCGGCTTGACTCCCCATTCGTTGGCGTCATCTACTTATTTAACTTCCTTCGTAGGATCAGCCTTTTTATTTTTTTCTTGCGAAATATCGGGTAACCTGGACGAATAAGCTTTATTAACTTCATTGAAAGCGGACACGTCCGTAGGTTCGATCTTTCTGGATAAATTTCTCAATACGGTTCCTTTTTCTCTTATCGATCTTTCTTGGTACAGATGTCTTAACTGGTCAACCATCTCTATACATCGGCATGATTGATTAATAATACCTTAATTGGAGATCCGTAAAAATTGGCCAGCATTAAGCATAATGCTGCCCGGTTAGGGATTTTTCGGGATTGGGATTTTGTACCAAGACGTATTCAAATACTTGATCGATCAATCATTACAATGCTGTACTGGATTTTTTAAAAAGGTTGTTTTGAAATAAATTCTTTTTAAATAAATTCTTCCATACTGGATCAGCTGTCATGAATAGGTTTAATAGAAATTAAAAATAAAAGCTCATTTTTGTATAATTTTTTTTTTCATTTTTATTTTCTTTCTTTGCATTTCAAAATTGGAAATCATTTTATACATATTTCTCAAGAAATTGACCATGGGAATCTATATCAAATTAAGTTCTAAGTATCACACTCAATGAAAGTAAATGAGTTAGTGAGGGCATCATACACATGCAATACACGCGCAAAAATTAAAGATAACTTCTTTACTTTAATCTCTTTGAGTATACCTCTGTTTATTTGCGAATTTTGACAGAAATACTATCTATTTTGTTATCTGAACACCATCAGGCATCAGCCATGCGTGACTTTACCCTTATACTAATTCTCACATTAACCCTGGGTTTCTTAACCACAGCAGAATCTGGTTATGCAATTCCGGAAAATTTTTAAAGACATTCTCATGTTTCAGAAAGATTGGGATGTAATCGGCCCTTTTTGGAAAAACAGATTCTACAGTATGTGAAAGGTGCTGAGTCATTTTCTCAATTAAAACAATTGTACGGAAAAGCTTTGCGAGCTTTTGGTGCAGGACGGAACTATGGTTTTCGGTTCAAAAACTTAGGTCTCGTTGATGCTATTAAAACGTTCGATTCAACAAAATTGAGCAAGCTGTTTTTAAAAATATAGAAAAATTGACTTCGAAAGCAGTGTATGTGCAGCAGACAAAGTAGCGATGCACTTAGATACGGGGTAAAAATATTATTTTACTATAATGTTTAGAATATGTAATTCAAATGTACTGTGATTTACGACTAAATTATGATTTGTTATATTCGTAGTTAAAGTTGCAGGAAGACCAGTAGGTGCGTCATCAATTTTGAATTTTACCAAAAAAATTTGCTTTTAGATGTATATATATCAGACATATATATATAATTTTTTTATTTTTGTTTTTCACTCTAGCGATTTCTATAGAAATGATAACAGCAGAGATGGAATAGCAGCTGGTGTTGAAGGTGAGTGAAAACTTTTAGATATCACAGATCATATATTTCTGAAGACTATTAAATCTTTAATGTGACTGGCGTACCTGCGGTCGAAGCAGAAATAATAGGAATTACAGAAGAAGAAGCAGCATCAGTACTCGCAGCATGTGCAATCTGGAAGGATCATGATGATCTTTTATCGATCATTATTTATTCAATTATATCTACTATAATATTAACTTCATAATAATATGTGTTCAAATTTTACAAAATTACTTTGTATTAAATTTTATTCAGATTGCATAACTTTTACTAGCTTCTTAAATTTTAATAAAAATGCTGTTATATTAAGTTAATTAGTTCAAGTTGGACCGAACTGGTCTGATTGGGGTCGATCCGGTCCAACTTAAGAGTTTTCAAGTTGCAGGTCCGATTTGAGTGTTCTCAAGCTGTGGTCCGGTTCGACTTGAAGGTTCTCAAGTTGATGGGTTGATGCCTTGAAGGAATCGATAAAAATGATTTTTTTTTAATTGAAAAATGAATTTTTATTATAATAATCTGATTGGTTTTATTAAATAAATCGTCTTACTACAAGTACGATATTCCAATTCATACTTGTCGACATCGATGCTAAAGGCGCGCCATGCGCATAATGTATCGCATAATGTGATGCGCAAAATGCGCATGATATTTGGTGGTATTGTACCCAATTTTAATTTTGGCTGATGTCCGTCGCTCAAAAATTTAGATTAGCTCATTTAGTCACACTTGTGTGCTCCGGAATCCGGACTTAACAAATAAAAATAAATTAATCACCTCAAATTCAAGTCTGAGTGATAACAAATCACTCTATGATTTTAATTCCTCAAGAAATTTTCTTTCATTTTTTATTTTATTAATAATTTATATAAATCTTCAATTTTTTTTTTAATATTACATGAAGATTGCCGTACACCAAATTCTCTAACATTAATGTCAATTAAGTTATTAATCTTTTTTTTCAATAAATTCACCTAATAAATATTTCACTTGTTCAATTACCAAATTTTCTAAAAGATTTGTTTCTTATATTATTAAATTTTATGTTTTATTTAAATAAAAAGTAATCATATCCAATGATTACTCGAGAATAAAATCTCGCTGATCAGCGTTTAGAATTTACATAAACTACATTTGAATCGGATGACGGTGATTATATAGAAAACATGTAGCGTACGGTGAGCTATGTATGTACGTATAGTGGTCAATGTATGGCAACGTCCGGTATACATCACCCTACAGTATACATCACCTTTCCGTCGTACCCGATGACGGTGCATTTTTTGAATGAAATGTTGGAAGTACAAATGCACGTCATCGTGTTACATACATTTTGAATGGAATTTTACTTAATCCTGTCGGTATAGAATAATATTTCCTTGTAATAAAAAAAATATGGAAGGAAATTCAAGTTAGATAAATTTAATATTTTAAGCAATATTAAAATTTAATTAATTGCAAATCGTGAAAACTTATTTTATATAATATAGAATGGAAATTCTTTTATTAATACTTCTACCGGTAACTTAGAAAAATTAGAGGAACTGTGGATAAAGTTTACAATATCCTAGTTAAGGCCGGGCAAAAAAAATTTTTAGATTCTCGTGACATAAAATTTTAAAAATGACTCGGCCGGGTCACGAGAATCTAAATTTTTTTTTTTCCCAGTCTAACATAAATAGAAAGATTAATATAAATTATATGATAAGCTAGAATTTACATTTTTGGTATTCACAAATTGTATGTCTGCGGGACAAAAATTTTTTTTTCTAGAAAAATGAAGTACTTAATAAAAAAAGAAAGAGAAAGTAAAAGAATATCCAATGAAATCACATTGATCAGCGCTTAGAATTTACGCCCAAATTTTTACAAATATTTGCAACACCTAACTTTAAATCCCGTTATTGTGTTACACACATTTTGATTATAATTTTACTTAATTCTGTCGGTATAATAAAATTTTTTCTTACTTCTTTTTGTAATAAAAAATATGAAAGGAAGTTCAATTCAGGTGAATCATTATTTTTAAATATTATTAAAATTTAATTAATTGCATATTATTAAAACTAATTTTATATAATAACAGAGTGGAAATTCTTCTACCAATACTGCTTCTGGTAGCTTAGAAAATAACTTTCCTGTTTCATATAAAATGATTCTGTATGAAAATGTGTCCAACAATCGTATCCTTCTCAAATTAGAAGAGGATGGATTCATTACTCCAGACGACAAAGTAGAAGAACTTTTAAAAAATCTAACTAAACCAAGTTATTTGTATGCACTTAAATTACTTTTTGAAAATTTACAAAATGAGTTTTCGTCTCAAGTTTTAGAAAATTCATTAGAAGCTTTAGTTGATACTTCTTTTAAACATTATTCAAAAGGAAGTGTAGCTAGATTGGAATTACATTTAAGAATTTTGGTTACTGTTTTAGAATTGATATGTTTTCACCAATAGTACTTAGTAAAGAACTTCGAGATAAAGTTTATAATTCTTTAGCAATGTTTGCAGAAATTCATCGTAAAACAACTCAGGTTATCGAAATAGGACTTGATAATAATTTTAGTACAAATTTTAATCAATTCAATCAACAAAATAATGATCAAATTGCAATTAAAAAGCGTAATTATAATATTGATTTTTTATTAATCCATTTACGAGATACTCTTCATAGTTTACGTGATGATGAAACTTGGTTTCAAGAAATTATACGAAGGACTAAAGATTTTCTTAAAACTGCATTAAATATTACACCAGGAATTTTATCAATAGCAGGAGTCTCTTCCAAATGATAATTGTTCAATCTTATCACAGGACCCCGAAATATACATAAAAGGGTCAGGTCAGAGTTTGCGTATAATGAGTCAAAAAAATCATGTAGATCATTCCTTTTATGGATAATCCCAGCCAAAATAATATTTCCTAATTTAGATGATGGCTGAAATTATCGTAATTCCGGCCCTGAAAGAATGCGTATTTTGGACCACTTCTGGACCTGACCTCTACATATATATTTCGGGGTCCTCTTATCACTGCTTACTCAAATACGTCAAAGTTTAAGTTTTAAATATCCAGTAGCATCTGATTATGTAGATTAGAGAATTATGTTAATAATTCAACATAATCTTTTCGTTTGGTCTGAAAGTGAAAAGATTATAAGTAAAAAATTTGGAGAATTAGTATTAATGGAATATATTTGGAGCTTTTTGGAAAGGGAATGGGCTAATGCTGCAGACAAATCTATTTTAGATTCTTAAACAAAATTTGATGAAGTATCAAATAAAGTCGCTAAAGCTTTGAAAAATACTGGAGGTTTTATAAATGAACTTGCTGGAAATGAACCTATAGCATTACCACATACTTTGTGGTTTGGAATATTAGATCTTGCACAAAATCTTATCCAAAAATCATCTCGAATAGCAACATACGGTCTTTGTTATTATTTGGCAATTGAATCACTTAATAAAGCACCAAGCAGTTTTATTCAGTTTAAATCAATTGAATTATTATTACATTTATATAATATTGATAATGAAATGTTTTCAATGATTGAAATTGATTTTGACCAATACACGCAAAAATTAAGTGAAAATAATTTGAAAGGTTCTTTAGAAAAATTTCGAAATTTATTAACTTTTGTTAAAGAGAAATACCTTGAAGATTTAAAAATTCTAAGTAATAATAATGGAAAAGGAAAAGAAGGAAAAGGAAAACCCCCAAATCAAAATTCATATTAAAGAAAGAACAAATACAAAATTCTAACATTTTATATGTTATAGCAGATGAAATTACTTGTCCGATTAGTAATGAACCAACTGATCAATTATGTATTTTAAAATGCCAACATATGTTAGCATTAAACAATCTAAAAAAATTAAAGAAAAAAATATGTCCTAATTGTCGAGAAAAAATTGAAGATAATAATATTAGATATTTACCACAAAATTCAATTTATAAAAATTTATATACAAAATTTTCTGAATCTGAACATATTTTACCTTCAATTGAATTAGAAAATTCCGATCAATTATATAATAGTGATGATTCATATAATTCGGAAGTTGAACTCATATTAACTAAAAAAAAAAATTTATGAATTCAATTATTAAATTAAATTCAAACATATCATCCCTAATACTTTCGAGAATTACAAAAAAACAACATCCAACATATCAAAATATTATAAAAGAAATAAATGAAAAAAATTATGAAAAAGCTGGATCTTTATGCAAAGAATTTAAAAATTTTTTCCTAAAAGTTATTCTTTAAGATGTATTTTAGTGTATATTTATAGATGTCTTAACGATTACAAACAAGCACACTTGTTTTTAAAAGATGCTATTAATTTAAATTCCAAAAGACCAGTTGCTTATCTTATTCGTGGAGAAATATTTTTTAGACAAAATAAATATTGTGAAGCAAAAGAAAGTATAAAAAAATCATTAGAATATAAAGCAAAAATAAATAACTTATATATATTACTAGGAAATAGTTACTTATTACGTAATTATCATAATTATGGTGATGATTATACAGAAGCTATAGAAAATTATAATATTGCATTAAGAAATGATCCAAATAATTATTTATGTCTTAAAATTTGTGCATACAGTTATGAAAAAAAAGGAGATTATTTAAATACTTTAAATTTATTAGATAAATTATTAAATATCAATAAGGAGGATTCTTTGGTTTTATGTTATTATGGAGAAATTTTATATAATATGACACAATATAGAAAAGCTATACCATACTTTACAAAAGCTTATACTATAGATCCAGAAAACATTCATAACTTGAATAAGAGAGCTATTACATACTATATTATTCAGGAATATGATGAAGTATTATCAGATCTTGATAAAATTATACAATTAGATCCACTAAATAGTTCAGCATATTATCTTAAAAGTTTAACATATTATACAAAGAATGATAATAACAATGCTAAAGTATCATTTAAAAAGTGTGCAGAATTATATAATTCTTATAATATTTTAGCAAAGATTCAGTTATTTCATCTAGAATACTTGCTAAATAAAAATAGTTCTAAAGATTTAAACAATGTATTAACAAAAATCAACAAGTTAACAAAAATCTATCAAACTCTTAATTATTATTATGATGTTTATGAAAATGAATTATTACAATTTATTAAATGCAAAATTCATATTGAATTAAAAGAATACAGTGAAGCAAAACTAGCTTTAGATCATATACCATATTACGCATTTGAATCTAATAATTATTTTATACAGGAGCATCCAGATTTTTGGTCATATTTATATAAAGTTAATGTAATTGACAAAAATGATTTTACCAAATTTGGAATTGTTGATGAATTTAGTAAATATATGTATAAAAGTAAGAAATATTCAAATTATTTATTACCTATCTTCTAGTTAAGTTAATGATAATTAATATCTTAAACTCATTAGAACATGAAGTATATTTTGTTTCAAATCTTACAAATTTGAATAGTGAACTTTTTCAATTTCAAGAAAGTGATATAAGCAGGTAAAGTCTAGTCATAATAATACTTTAAGTCAAATTGTCAAATACAAATTAATCATAATTTTAAAATTAAAGTTTATCAGGGCTGGTAATGTCTTCTAAAAATGAAAATCTTCATTTGGTTTTGCCTATACTAAAAAATTGTCATTATTTTAATGATTATCTCATTTGTAAAATTAATGTTAAAAAAATATTATCTAAGGATTGCTTTATAAAATTTATACCTGATGACGTAAGTTAGTTAATCAAAATCTCTTATTTTATTTAATTTTAATTTAATATCAACTTAATTATAGAATTATCAAGAAGATTATATGTTAAAACATAAAGATGTATCAAAACTTGAGGGGTTAGGTTGGATAGAGTATCAGACTTGCATACATATACATAGTTATTTTCAACTTTCAATTGTAATAAATTCTATTGAAATGGTATGTTCCTATTTATTTATTCAGATTAATTTCCTTTTAGAACAAAATATAATATTATTTTTTGATTCACATAGCAAATGGAATATATTCGATTTGGATATAATGTAGACACAATAACTCGCTTTCCCAACATGAGTTTAGTGGGTTATTTGTTATCAGATTATAACAAATTTATCTCAAATGTTCCAGAAACTTTCAAAAACAAGTATTTTTCAAGAAAAGAAATGGAAAATTTATTTGATTTAAAAGACATCCTTAACAGCTTATGATTATATAATTTTTTAAATATTACCATTTTTGTTTTATTCAACATACTTTGAAAATTAAATTAAAATTGATACATGTTGGAAATTTACTTTTTACTGAGAAAATATACAAAAAATTTGTATGGTGTAGGATACTTCATAAAATGTTAGTAACTCCAGTTTATAATAAGTGATAGAATACTATGTAAAACGTTTATTTTTAACTAGAATAGTATCACAAGTTTATTAGTTAAATCTAACAGCCAATGTTTTATTATTATTTATAAATACGAAAAACATCACTAAAACAAAATGTATTGTATATTATTTTATTTGATATAATGAATTTTATTTAACAAATTATAAAAATGTATATTCTAATCTTTTCTTTTAGAAATTTAGTCTACTACAATAAAATGCTTCAACATTTAAATTCCATTGAATGTTTCAGTTTTCAATAATATCAATAATTTTATTAATATTTTATCTATTTAAATTCAATATTTTATCATTAAATCTAAAATCTAAATAAGATTTTGGAGTTCCTTTAATATCGAAAAATTTATTACATAATAATAATATATCATTTTTTTGGTACAACACCATAATTTGAATCTTCATTTTTTTTCTTCAAAAGATTCTGAAAAATTCTTACAAAACGTTTCCACTATGAAAATCGCGATGTACAGTACGTACTATCCATAATCATGTATAACTGCTACTTCTAATAATATGGAAATTGTCTAACAAATCGGTTTCTAATCAAATTGAAAATATTAGAAGGGGTGAAGATGAGAGTGATAAAGAAGAGAGAGAGAGAGAAATCACTTGTTATTATATAATTTTTATTTTATAGAGTGGAAATTCTTTTATCAATACTTCTACTGGTAATTTAGAAAAATTAGAGGAACTGTGGATAAAGTTTATCCTAGTTAGCATAAATAGAAAAGTTAATATAAATTATAGGATAGGCTAGAATTTACATTTTTGGTATTTACAAATTGTGTCTGTGGGAAAAAAAATTTTTTTTTTCTCTAGAAAATAAAGTACTTGAAAAAAAGAGAAGAAAAAAATAACTAATGAAATCACTGTTTACGACACGTTACAATAAATACTGAAATAGTAGTACACTACTAACACTAGGACCCAGAAATATATATATAAGGGTCAGCGTATTTTGAACTAAAAAAAATCATGAAAATCTTTCCTTTTTGAGATAATTTTTGATAATGCCAGTCAGAATGTTATTTCCTATTATAGTAGCCGACTGACATTATCATAATTCCGGCCCTGAAAAAATGCGTACAGCTCAGTAAAAAATTTTTTTTTATCACCTGACCCTATATATATACTTTATATACTTCTGGGTACACTCTTTGAATGAGTACAAGTTCACGTTATTGTATTACGTACATTTTTGATTATAATAAAATTTTTTCTTGCTTCTTTTTGTAATAAAAAATATAGAAGTTCAAGTCAGGTAAATTATTATTTTAAATAATATTAAAATTTAATTAATTGCATATCATTAAAACTAATTTTGTATAATAACAGAGTGGAAATTCTTCTACTAATACTGCTTCTGTAGCTTAGAAATAACGTCCTTGTTTAATATAAAACGATTTGCATATGTTTTTATAGCGTGTTTTTTTATTATAATATAAATATTTGATTGAATTTTAATTTATTTAAAAAACTATTTAGGTTTTTGTAGGAATCTCAGAACCTGATCCAAATTCCTGATGAAATACTATTTGATGAAGAATTAGTCAATTACGTTGATACTTCCATAGGATTACAGCATATCAAATCAAATATCCTTGAGTATTTATAGTTCATATGATCATTCTTATTACAAATCTCCATCAACTAAACATACAAAAGGTAATAAAAATATAATTTTACTCATCAAAATAGCAAAAGATTTCATTTATATTTATTATATCTTTTTTAGTAAACTGTGGCGGTGATGAATATAATTGGAACTTCAAACACAGTAAGTTAGAAAACAATCAAGGACATTTGAAACCAAATGATATTATTAATCTTAGCATAAAGAAATCGTATGGTAATAGTACTCCAAATGAACAAATTGAATTTTTACGGAGTTATAATATTCAATTTACTATTGGAAACGATACTTTTCAAGAAGTTGTTGTTATTCAAGAAGTTGTTATTGTCATTCATAATGAAGATTAGGAGAAGTAAGTTATTCATCATGTATTTTGTTCATATTTTATATAAATATCAAAAGTTTTTTTCTTTTTTAAGTGGTGTATTGAACTTATAAAACAAGCTTAAAATCTTAAGTAGGCCACAGACTGCACTTATGCCTATTTTAATTCTTCAAATAATTCAAATAATCATATTTAACTATTCACGAATTTAAAATAATCTAGGTGGTGTTAAATTTAACGTGTATGAATGAACATAATTTCTTGAAAAATGTTAATAAATTAAGAAAAGTTTGTAATAAAGAAGATTCCTTATAAAATAAAAGAAATAAAGGGTGGGCAAAAATTCTTTGTTATTGAAGTAAATCTATCATAACCGATCATAACCGGTCACCGATATCGGTCGGTCAAAGACTTCTGCTGACCACCGACCGGCTTGACCGAACACCTACTGACTGACCATTTGACCAACTGTTTGACCAACTGTTTAGCAATTTTGGTCGGAATGTTAATCTGTCACTCTGATGGCACAGAGCATAATGAATCACATACTAAATCAGTTAAACTTATAACATAAAATGTAGTTTTACTAAGTGAAATTAATTTGTCATCTGAAATTTTGAGTCAAATTAAAAATATACTTAATAAATAAATTACTGGCTCTATCATAAAGTCAGATTGTAAGCAACCCGGATATACATTACAATTTCTTTAGCTATCATAATAAAAAAAAATTTGGGGTAGCATGAGTAATGATTGATAAATATCAGAATTATTAATCTTCAATTGCACAATCAAGACCTTGAGTCTCTTCTTGAATTAAAATTTCAGTAAGTTTGCGACTTGTATAATATGCTTGTAAATGAGATTGTATAGCAGAGGTATTTGCTTGTTCTTGCATTAAAGCTTTGTCTGCTTCTACAAATTCTAACATATCATTTATTAATTGATTATCAAAATTAGATACTTCATAGACATAATTTCCATCCCTGTTTATTCTATAATATTCACTAATACACCTATTCCATTCAGATAAAATATTTTCAAGCATTATTACGGTTGGTCTATTAGAAGGATCTGAATCCCAACATTTTTCCATTAAATCTATATAACATTTTGGAGCATTTTTTATAATTTCAGGACGTCTCCCTTGACAAATACCTAGGCTAAGGTGATAATCATGTGCTTCACGATTAAATGGAGGGGTACCTGATATAAATTCCCACATTATTATTGAAAAACTATAAATATCACTTGCTGGTGTATAAGGTTTTTTTCTTAATATTTCAGGCGCCATATAAGGTAAAACTCCATAAATTTCATTAACAGAATCTTGTAAATCACTTATAGGTTTGCATAATCCTAAATCAATAATAAATAACTCATTGTAATCATCTGACATTAAAATGTTACCATCATGAAAATCACCATGAGTTAAATTTGATTCATGAATTACTTTAAGTCCTAGTATAATTTTTTTCAATAATTGTAACTTGTGTTGCCACTTAAATTTAATTATATCAGATAAACATTTTCTCAAACTTCCTTTTTTTGCATAACTCATTATAATTATATAATTTAAATTATTTGGATCTTGGGTAAATCCAAAGAATTGGATAAATTTTGAAAATGATTTTTTCTGACAATTATAATAATATTTCCACTATATAAATTATAAAAAAAATGTTAAACATTTGCATAAAAAAATAAAATTGCTACTAAATATAAATAATATACCTCATCCAGAAATTTACTATCTAAGTTTGATGAACTATTAAGTGTTTTAAGAATAACCTCATAACCTGCTTGAAAATTACATCTATTCCATTGTTGTTTGTTAAAGCTCCAATTATAAATAGGTCCATCTAACCAGATAGCTTTATGAATTTCACTAAATCCTCCTTTATCATAATAATTGATTTCTGACAATTTATTATAAGGTATCCACTCTAAAAATTCATAACTATTTTTAGCATTTAATTGTGCCTCTTGAATAAATTTATCAACAAATTCATTTTTACTAGTCCATTTAGAAAAATCTTGTTGAAATCGTTTAGTATTACATTGCTGGCACCACTTGTAATCAATGTATGGTTGCTTGCATTCATTACATTCTAATCTAACTTCATTTTCTGCTGCTTTTTGATACCAATAAAATGCTTTCTCTAAATTCTTTTCTGTTCCTTCTCCATTTTCATAACATGTGAATAAATTAATCATTGCATCTTTATTATCATTTTTTGCTGCTTTTTGATACCATTGAAAAGCTTTTTCTAAATTCTTTTCTATTCCTTCTCCATTATAATACAAATTGGCTAAATCATTCATTGCAATTTCTTCACCATTTACTGCTGCTTTTTGATACCAATGAAAAGCTTTTTCTAAATTTTTTTCTGTTCCTTCTCCATTATAATACCCATTTGCTAAATTAAACATTGCACTAGTATAACCATTTTCTGCTGCTTTTTGATACCATTGAAAAGCTTTTTCTAAATTCTTTTCTGTTCCTTCTCCATTATAATACCCATTGGCTAAATTAAACATTGAACTAATATAACCATTTTCTGCAGCTTTTTGATACCAATAAAAGGCTTTTTCTAAATTCTTTTCTGTTCCTTCTCCATTATAATACCTATTAGCTAAATTAAACATTGCACCTGTATAACCATTTTCTGCCGCTTTGTGATACAAATGAAAGGCTTTTTCTAAATTCTTTTCTGTTCCTTCTCCATTTTTATAATGTATGGCTAAATTAAACATTGCACCAGTATGACCATTTTCTGCTGCTTCTTGATACCAATAAAAAGCTTTTTCTAAATTCTTTTCTGTT